CCTCTACCCCATCCTGCTGAGGGGGGGAGTAAGAGAGTGAGTGAGTGCCTGGTTTGGCTTCACAACTTGTTTCTGGGAATCTAGCCACCTCTGAGTTTCCTGTGAATAGGACGATCTGGTTCACAACTGCACATCTGGAAATCCTGGTGTCTTTGCCTTTGAATTAAGGACAGAGTCTGTCCAACCCAAAATTTTGCAGGTCAGGCCTGTTTCTTCAAATATCCAAAACTGAAACTAAGGGTGCAGTGCAGGTCTCAACATGGATGCTGACTGTGCAGTTCTGGTTTCTTAACCTTTAAAACTTTGGCTCTTGATACAAAAGCAACTCTGAGGAGATGCTTCTAAATAAACTTAATGTTAGAAGTACCCACTGGGCTGTATTTCCAAGTTGGAAAGAATATTCCTTTCTCTGAATGTAAATATGTGGGCTCTTATTTTTGTGGTACCTTCTTGATTTGGGTGTTTTCCTTTTCTGAAGCATTGCTTTAGGTTAGTTTCAGGTAAGTCTACTCATCCCATACTAAACAAACATCAACAAAAATATTTGATCTCTGGCAAGTCTGCCTGTTCATACACCAGGATAAAGGTGTGTGTACAGTGTCACAAGGGCCACACTAAAGGTAGCATCAAGAGAAAAAGTTTCACAAAATGACTCCTCCCTTAGCGGCAAGGGGAAATTTCTGATGTAACGGTCTAGATACACACAACATTATTAGCAAACATCACCTACTCGCAGCTCTCGTCATCACCCTGGTTGAAGCAGAGTTTTCACTTTTGCTAAGCACAACACGTGCGGTTTATTAGGCTCCTTCTTACACAAATCTGAATTTCCATCATTCCCACAACTCACATATCAATGCAGCCTTAAACCCCAAGTACGTTAGCTTTGTATATTCCTTCTATCGCCTGAGTCCCCAGAAATTACCTCTGAACAGGTATTTATTAATAATTATTTAGTCACAAGTTATTCTGATCATTTATTTAACGGGTCTTATTATAAAAAAAAGACTGATCCCTGCCTTACAAGAGTCTTTCTTACATGGTTCTACAGTGGGGAAACTTCATCTATTCTGTGGCAGTCGAGTCCACTACCAGGGCAGTAAACCAGGGAATTTACCACACAGAGGGGGAGTTACTGCAGTACCACGGTATCCAAATCTTCTTTTGCTGTGGAGGTACTATAGGGGGCATCGATGGGAAGAAAACATGTAAAAACATACCTGTATGTTCCATAACTCAGACAAATTTACGATAATCTAAACACTTCAGTTTCAGAAGGGTTTATGTACTAAACTATTATTGCCTGTACTTTGAGGCAACCTAGATTTATCTAGTTCTCTTGTTAAGAACTTAAACAACCAAACCTTCCCCTCAGGAGAGACCTGCAATGCGAGAACTATTTTAAGAATCTTGCGCCCCTGCCCCAGACAACTGATTAGCTCAGGGCAATTAAGCAAATGCCTTGTGTACCTGTGTGTGGACAAACACATGTGTAACGCGTGTGTGGACATCCCACTTTCCCTCCCCTCCACCTGTTTTTGCCCTCCTTTTTGCAGTCTCAGGGTCCTGCTCTGTTGGACTGAGCCAACACTGTTCATTAAATTTATACGGCTGGAGGTTTTTGACAACTACTGCAATTAGCTAAACCCAGTGAATGCCCAGGCCATCGCATGGCCTCCCAGTATAAGGCAAGGGAGGGAGGGGAAGAACTGGAAATCACCACTTTTAGCAGTGGTGAACTATTACGGAGGGCCAGTGTGTCCTGCAGAATACTGATGATCCTGCCTCTCTAAGGTCTAAGACCGTTAATTACATTAAGCCAAGAAACTATCAGTGACATTTGTCACTCTGTTCACCTTGTAGTATTAAACAGCAGTGGCAAAAAAAAAATATTTGTTTTGGTTTGGTTTTAATATGATATAGCAGCCTCATCTCTTACTAGGAGTTTTTAAGCAGGGGGCAAATGTTTGGTTTGACTTTTTTTTCTTTTTTTTTCTTTGTGAGACATGCCTAACTTCCTCTGTTTATTTGGGAAGATTCAAGGGTAAAGCTACAGGACAACAAAAGCAGGTGTCAGCTTCATAAAGCTGATGACTGATTTTTCCATTTGTACCATTAAAACCTGTGTTTAATATTTCTATTAGCAACCTATGAACTAACCACATTCTACAAGCAACCTGAATTTTCAGGAGTCCAGATTTTCCGCCATTCATCCCAATGCCTTGTAATGTACTTCCCATAACATCTCCCATGGAGTGAACACAAGAAAAAACAATGAGCAATACCAGTGGTTTTGGGATCAACAAAAATGTAGAAAGAAGCATATATTTCTGCGTGTAGAGAAAAAAAAGACAGAAAAATTTAAAATAAAAACAAAAGCCAGCCCAAACCTGTCAAACGGCCTAATGAGAAAGTAACAAAAAGACACATTGAGGTATGTTCAGTTTCTATGCTGGAGATTCATTAGAAGTCTGAAAGAAAACCTGAGAGATGCTAAAAATTATTTGTCAGTCTATGCTCAATACTGTACATGGTAACCTCTGCTTTTAGGTGAAACCAGTTTTCTCCACTTAATTTTTATAAGTAAGCTGAATTGGTAAATGAAGCATTAAGGAACCCAGAAGAACTTAATATTGCATAAAATTGATTTGATGCTCAGAACATTGAAAGAGTTGTCTGGCTTTCAGATGAGCTGCACTACGGATGCAGAATGCTTCTAGGTGCTCTACTTCACATATCCAGCTTAATTCCCACATCCCCTCTGCTTTTGGGTTTAAGTCCTGGCTCTGAAAGTTACTAGAAGTTTGGCTGCTGTCTGCAGTGCAGCAGAACATCCCCACTGGTGTGGCTTGCACTATGATCTCCTGCTGGTGTGGTATTATTTATTCATCTCATCCAGGGAGGATGCAAAGACCTCACTGCAGGTTCCCTCAACAAACTCGGCCACAGATAATACATTGACTTTTTTTTTCCACCCACATACAACCTCCAGGATCCCAAATCTGAGCACAGTTTTGCCTTGAATTTCCAAGGACTGAAGGAACATGCGCTTGGTATGTCTCAAAGTCCTTTCATAGCCTCAAAGTGAGACTTTGCATTCTAATTTGCAAGTCTGAGGTTTTATCAGACAAAAACCTGACCCAGCAGAGCATTGCGAAGAGCACGAAACCCTATTTGGTGAGGAGGAATTATGAATACACCAAAGCTACCCTGCAGCTTGTGTGTGTCACAGGCTCCCACAAGAGAATTAAGAAGCACACCTCCCACGATGTTCAGCAACACAACTGGGATAACTGCAGTGCTTTGAATTTGGATGGAGAAGGCAGGGATTCAGAAGGGGAAGACTGAAGGAGGATGAGGATCTACCAACAGCATCCTGGTGTTTACAACAGGTATTTGCAAGGCTAGAGACTTGCATGTCAAGTCAAACTGCTACTGATCTACTTTTATGGACTTGGGCAGATTGGTCTGACTTTCAGGGTCTTGATTTTCTCATACAGAGATGATAGATTATTTTACCTTATTAAAATTAACATGAAACATTTACACATAGTCAACACACACAATAGCAATAATGCAAACATACAAACAAAAACATGGTGTGAAAGCTTGCCTATTTAGTTTAGTGAACAACAGTAAAGAGTTTGCAATCCTAACCTCCTGCCCTAATCAACCACTTCAGAATCAAAGTCCTCCAACGTTCTCTTACAGAACAGGACCTCTCAACCTTAATTAAACAGAACAAGCTGAAGACTTCTAAAATAGTATGGGAAGGAAATGCCAGGAGTTGCTCTGAACACTCAGTAGCAGAACCAGCTGCTTAAAGACTTCAGGAAAAGCAAGAGGAGACTGTTACTTTTTTAAGCAGGGGATATAATAGCTCCTGTTTTAGGCATATCCAGAAAACTAACTAAAAAAAAAAAAAATCACCAAGACAGAGGAATTATTAGAAGATCTTCATAGATTAAACCATGCTTCTTGGCCCATCTAGCAATAGCAGCTACCTCTGATGACAACAAGGTTTGTACATACATCTTCAATTTCAAAAAAATGAGGGTTTTTTTTAAACTTTCCATGTTCACAGCCCAGTGCAAAGGTTATGGGTGTGAGGGTGTGCTCAAACACACACTGGGCTAAAAAGGTCTTTGATTAGTATTTCACCAGCAGTTAATAGAAATACGTTACTTCTACAAAAAAAAAACTAAAACAAACCAACAAACAAACAAACAAACAAAAACCAAACAAACACGAAAAAAAGGCCGCAACTATTAAAAAAACACAAAACAAAGCCAACGCAAAGCTATTGACAACTTTGACGATTTTTCCTTGAGCAAGAGGGAACACAGAATACAAAATAAACAGCACTATCATATACAGGGGTGACAAAAATATTTTTACAGTAACAGCTTGTTTCCTGAGCTCCTTAATGCCTCAGGAACAGTGGGCAAACGTGCAGGAATTACCTCACCGTAGGCGGGTGCCATATCCCACCCACTTCCTACCGTGACCTTCCTTTACACAAGTTTGAGAGAAACGGGCCAGAAGAACAGGCTGGGGAGTTCCTGGAAGTGCTGACCGCCGGCATGAAATTCTAGAGCTAGACGCGGGAGGCAGGCAGACGCCTGGTTGTGCCCGCCACCCCTCGGAAGGACGGGGAGCAGGCGGCAGGGACGCTCCCTTTCCCGCGCACGGAGCCGCTGTCGCGGGCGCCGGGCCAGGAGTCGGGGGCGGTCGCGGCCCCCTGGAGAAGCAGCTGCCTCGCTGGGGCATCCTCCCAGGACGCAGCCCACCGCCGGAGCCCACCCAAACCCCAGCGGCAGCTGCACAGCCCCGTCCGCGCCGCTCCCCCGGGGCGGCACACGCCTGCCTGGCCGCCCGGCTGAGAAGCAAGGGGCAAGGATGCCCCGCTCCCGCCGCCCGCGATATCCCGGACGGCAAGGAGGGAGGGAGAAAGGCGAAGGGCTCGGGAAGGGGTCCCCAACGTGCCCATCACGGCTTACCCAGGAGGGACGCGAAGCAGAGGTGCCATGCCAGCAGCCTCATCGCTGCCCGCCCGATCGGAAGTCTAAAGACAGCTCACTCCCGCCGCGCTACAGGCCGCCCGTCTCGCCCTACACCCCCGCTCCTCCCTCGGCGCTGGGAGGGGACGTTCTCTGCGAGTCTGACTAAGCGGCTTCCTCTGGAAACTCCTGGCCCCTGTGAGGAAAGGGGATTTCAGAGGCGGTGGCTGCCTCCGCTGTGTCGTGGTGGGTTGCGGCTGCCGGAGCGGGGCTTGGGGTGCTGGGTGATGCTGCGAAGGGGGTTTCTGGTTCATGGGACGCAAGTCCAGCAGAGAGTTTCTGTTATGTTTCTGTCGGCAGAAATTGTCGTGTTGCTCTTACAGAAGGGAGGTATCAGCTCTGTTAATTGAAAAACTGGAATTAAATGAATTTAATGTGGAGTGGAAGCCTGCACAGATTAGGGGAAGAAGGAATTTCAGCAGGCAGCACGCACCTCGCAGCGTCAGAAAATGGTCATGGAATGGTTTGGATTAGAAGGGACCTTAGAGATCATCTAGTTTTAACCCCTCTGCCATGGGCAGGGACACCTTCCACTCCTAGTGCTCCCCAGAGCCTGAGGTTTGACACCCATGCTCCCAAAAATGTCCACTTCTCTCTTTGAGTGACACCTGCAAATATCTCCTTTTGAGAGGTGGGCTTGAGGCTAAGCCTGGTCATGCTCACCTCTTCCCCCCACAAGGCAATGTTGGTCTCTGTGGAGCTGCCCCTTCTGCCTGAGTGAAGCAAGAGAAATGTAATAGAAATTAACTATGACTTCTAGGGGTTTCCTTCTGCTTTCCTCCTTTCCAGCTGCTCAGAAGCCCATTCACAAAACTAAAACAGATTCTGTTTCATGAGGATGAATGGCCTCTTGACACTATGAAGTGGTTTTGAGTAAGAAAGGGAAAACACACAACAGTTTGGGAAGCCTAAGTACTCAGCAGCTGCTGAAAAAATGCTACTCTGCCGAACACTCCAGTGGCAGCTGAGAGTCAGCTTTCCTCCCATGGCAGAGAGTTGCTGCAAGTGGATACTGCAAGCTCCTTTGCCTGCATCCTGCTCACAGTGCGTTACCCTGGCTGAGAAGAGTCCAGCTGCAGACCTTACAGCCTCAAAGCATGCTCAGCTCCCTGGAGCTTGACTGCCTGTCCAGGAGACACCAGCACAGCACAAGTGTCATCCAGGGATGCTCTCACTGCAGGTTTTTCCTGCACTTGGCTCTCTCCCAGTGCCTGCAGCCCACACACTCACTGATAAGCAGCTGTGTTGGGCTATTCACCCCCACTTTGAGTGACCTCAGCTTTTTTTCTTCACACAACAGATTCGGAAAAAAAAATTGGCAACCATGGAGATCTCATAATACCAAAATGAACACTGAATATGTTGCAATGCCAAGTGATTTTTTTTTCCCTCCTTCTAGGAATCACTGTAAGCTCTCTTAACTCATCACTGAAGGGTGCAGCATGAGCTAGAATGACACTGCACCCTGGGCTGAGCAATGCTCTCTCATTCAGTTCTTACAAAAACAGAATAATACTGACCCATTTTCCATAGCTATGTTAGAATGTCATGACACATAGCTCACTTACAAATGGAGTCAGGCCCATCCTATAAATTCCTTTTGCTCAGTGATAGAAACCCACACAAAGCTTTTTCTCTGTTCCCTTTACCCCTCTGTTCTCAATCTCTGTCAAGTGTTAAAGGGAGCTCCCTACCCTGTGAAGGCTCCAAGTCACAGCATTTACATATTACAGAAATGTAACATGGCCATCTTCCTGCAGTATCCTCATGGCAGGAACACGTGTTCTCTGCTGCGGACTAGTCCTCTTGTAAGGTAAAATGTCCTCCCAAAATGTCAGAGGCTTTGGATTGAATCTTGTTGCTGGAAGGATGCTTGCACACTACAACTTTCCTGTAGGTTATGAAATCTTTGGGGTTAGGAGAGAGAAATCTGAAGCACAGACAGACACTTCCACTTTGAAACAGGTTATTTTAGGGTGGAAGGAACCATGGGAGGTTCCCTATGTGTACTTAAGGCAGGCCTAAGTTCTTCCTACTGAGCTGTTCTGTGTTGAAGAGGATGATTAGGGCTTCACAGGGCAGAGAAAGTGAGAGAGAAACTTGAACCTGGTGGCTGGTGCCCTCACCTAGGCTCCTCTACTTTTGGGAAACTACAGGAATACATGGCAGGTATGTATTCTCCCTTCTTATGCCTATTTATACAGTCATACCAGATAGAAGATCCATAAAGTACTAAAAAAAACCACAAGAAAATGACTGGGTTTCCCCCTTTCCTGAGTACCCAGTCAGTTTTCCCTTGCCCCTGTTTTCCCTTCCTCAGTTGCCAAGACCATCTTTAATGTTTTCTTCCTGTGCTGTCACAGTTATAACACACTTCTGAAGGTCAGGAGTTTGAATTTCTTTTTGTTGAGGTGAGAACTAAACCCTATTCCTCTCTTAGTCCTGGGAACAATACACAGGAGCCTACACGCTTAACATAGAGCCATGGTTCCCACTCTGTGGGGAAAGGACAGAAAATACAGGAGCTGTAAGACCAAGTATTCCAGCAGTAAGATGGATCCAGGCCTTAACGGATAGTGAGCTAAGCTCTGTGGGTATTTCAAGCCCTCCCTCGAATGCAAACGCCTTAGGGAGAGGTTTGAAATAGTTATCATTTGTTTAACTCACACTTGGCTTCCCCCCAAGGTCCCATGCTGCTACCCTAACTGCATTGTTTCTAGTATCAAAAAACAGTTTTCCAGTTTAAGTGAATTTTCCTGCAATCAGATTTCCACTTGACTACTGGGTATTTGCAGTGCTTATGTTCCTCTGCCAGTTGTTGTTTTGTGGGTGGGGAGACAGCATTTTCAGCTGAGTTGGGCACTTTCAGCATTTGCTCAAATGTGCAGACAGTGCAATTTTTAATTTTTTTTTTAATTAAAAGAATTTGCGCATAGAATCAAATTTGTCTATTTTCATTATCCCTGATTCATTATCAAGAGAATCACACTGTGCTTCACGATTGTACACTATAATGGACTGTTAAAAGAAATCTAAAGTGGTTTGAAAAGTCTTTGCAACAATGATCCCATTGCCATTATAATCACTCCCATTGGGAAGTAAAATAAGTGGCATTAAATTTCTGAACTAATATAACTGTAATTACTCAGTAATTAGGTTCACAAGCAATAAAAAGAAAACCCTTCATACCAAAACCGTTTTCCTGGTAAGAGCATTTTAAGCACAGAGCAACTGAATGGCTTTTGCTGTTTGCATAAGGAACCACCACAGTGTGTGCTGATATAATAAAAAAAAATCCTGAAGTTACTAAATCTGAGATCACAGAAAAAAACCTGCGCAGGAAACAGAATTTTCAATTTCATGAAGATGTTTCCTTTTTAAAAACCACCAGTTTTGTGTATTTGCAGAGCTGTTAAATACCAAGATGCTGTTTAACAGCTCTGTAAATACACAAAGCTAAGCCAGAACTGCACATCTTGGCCACAGTTTTGTTTTACTCTAGGGCTGTAATACTGGTGCCTGCCTTATATTATAAGGTATTTCAAAATTTCCATAGGACTTGGGAAAGAGTAATATTTGCATCCTGCTACAAAGAGTAGTGCTTGTTGCCATAATTTTAAATAATATTTAAAAAAAATGGAAAGAAGGACTTGCTTGTTTTCTTTAGGTGTTCCAATTTGTTTTATTTTAAGAAATTTGTCATTTTCACAATTACACTGTTGCTCTGAAGGCCTGTATGGACATGTCACTGCCTAATGGTATGATTTCACAAGTTTCTTTCTGTCTGTCTTTCTTTCTTTCTTTAGAAAAGTGGAATCAGATCAGTGGAATTTGTGGGTGTAATGGAAAAGGACTGGGCCCATTGCAGTCCACATGCTTTTATCTTACAGTCTGTGAATCAACTTGAGTCTAAGTGCTGGGGATGAATAGGTGAAGAGTGGGCTGGAAGCCAGGCAGGCACTGGCTATTCATATTTCAGCTTTCAATCTTGGAAAATTGATTGGGCTGGCAAACTCAGTCACATAATTGTGACTGACAACAGACACTTAGAACCTACTTCTCTGACAATAAGCCAGTTTATCCTGGGGGCAAGTATTTCAGGATCAGAATGTATCTGTATGTGTATCTCTGTGAGGATGCAAATGGGGCAGGGCTTCATTATTCCTCCAGGCCAGGCAGCTGATGCTGCCTAACTTCCCAGTGAACACTGAAGAAATTTATCTCAGGAGACTTGGAAGTAACATTATCTTCTGCTTAAAACAGTCCCAAAGCCTTCAGCTGGAGCAAACTGGGGTAAGGAAATTACTGCTATCACTAATAACTGTAAAGAAAAGTAATGCCAGATGCTTTTTGAAATGTCTTTGGCCATTCTTCTGATCAGACTGAAGCAATTTCTTCATTTTGTTGTTCAAATAAAGCCACCATAAAATAGTGCCTTGACAGGGAATGTTCCTTTGCTCATTACCCCTCCTGCCATTTAACACAATCAAGGGCAAAGTTGCCTCGTTCAGCAAGATGGACCAACACACACTGATGAGACTTAAGAAACAGGTGTGTCCTTACCTGAAAATCCTTCACAGCCAGGGAGATGGTAACACCATATGATGAGTGTCATGTGATGGACTCCTAGTTACATGCTTGGTTGTGCACTTATGCTTCTCTATCTGTGTACATCAAAGCAGTAAAGTTTTTTATTCAAAGTGTTTGCATGTTTATGATACCAGTGCATTACTGAGGTCATCTTTTTATTTCCTTTAGTACCTGAAACACAAACCAAAGGAAAAATGAAGGCTGTCCCTGCCCTCAGAAATGTACAGTCTGGGCTTATTATGGTGATATGCCCACCAGTGACATTTTAGACCATTTTCCCCCTCAGTTTTCAGAAGTAGTCCACTGCTTTGCCTTCTTTTGACTGTTACGGGTATGTGACCAAAAGTAGAAATACAGGAGAGAGACAGCAATGTAAAGGAGAAAAACACAGAT